GCGAAGCGATAATATCATACATCCAATACCGTAAACTGCCGCTCATAAGCCCTCCTGCTTATAAGCCCCTCCGGTTATCAGCCCATCTTTCTGAAAACAAAATATTCTCTCCGATTGTACCCCCCCTCCCGATATAAGCACCCCTCGTTTAAAATAGAATGACATCAATTTGTGATTATGTTTTGAAGCTTAAGGAACAACCAGTATATGGAAAACGTAGTTTGATCAACACTGCCGTAGCTCATTTCGAAAAGTTTTTTTTTTTATTCTGCTTATTGGCCACCCCCAGATAAGCCCCTCCGTATATAGACCTATCCAAAACCCCGTCCAAAGTTGTGTAAGCCCAGGACTTATAAGCGGCAGTTTACGGTACTATATTAATAATAAATTGTTCCCGTAATACTTATCTTTCAATTCCATCATTAAACAAAACTTTACAACATCTGAAAACAAGCAAGAAATGACTGCTATAAGGGATGCATGGCATAAAATGTTTATCTATCACATAGTTTATTTACTTTGCGAAATGGCTCCAAATTCAAACCTTTTTTTTATGAAAGGGTGTTCTAGAGACCATTATCACCATGCTTTAAAAACCTAGATGGTTTGTGCATAGGGCAGTTAAGATATAGATAATTATTGGGTCTAAGTTATTCATAATTCTTAGTCCAACGTTGGCTTTAATCGAAATTCGTCGAAAAAGGCTGGATTTAATGAAAAACCGCGTTTCCTTCAGCATTTAAAGAAACCGGAAGTACGCCCAATATACATTGGAATTTACCCTATCAGAGCGTGCGCAATTTACACTACCAGCGACAAAGGAGACTTTTGTCTGATTGGCTGATTTGTTACTCTGGTACTCAGACTCTTACTGAGCGCGCTGCCGAAATCTTAAAAACAAAGATGGCGTCCGAAAGAGCGATTTCATCGTTGACTTTGCTTTATCTCTTGTTTTAGAGTTTTAGGTAAATGTTGCAGTTTTTTGCTTTGTCCTCTTTTTCAGAATGGCAGGAAAATGTAAGGCGGGAAAGCTCAAACTTCTCAGAGGTTACCGTTTTCGCTTTTACTGGCAAGCAACTGTTTCCCTCTTGGCTTTGCAGGGTGGAAAAATGTTCCACAACAAGGGCAAAAATAAGAGAATGGATAGTGTGTAGAAAGTGCTGCTGTAAGTTAATTAACAAGAGTGCAAGGGTGTTTATAGTAAAAAAGGAGTTTGTAATATATTGCTAATTAATTCAATACATATATCGATCTGTAAAAACTTACTTTGATTGGCTTCCTTGGAAATCAATGTGATATTATTGTAGAAATTGCACTCTCCACTCTAAATCTTTCTCTTTTTTGTTTCCTGTCCTTTTAAGAATGATAAATGGATGTGATGTAACACAATAATGTTCAAGTCCAGGTTGATAGCTTTATAAAACAGTCTGTGTGAAAAAGGTACCATGCCACAAACATCAAAACAGTTGCCACCTCTCGAGAGGTTTGTCTTTCCAATGGATTAAATCATAAAAATTGTAAATTATGCACAAGTAAATGAGTGGACTGTAGTGATGTGATTATGCTTATGTCATTTGTGTCACTTGGTTTTGAGAAAAGTGGTACAGCTAGTGGAAGCTCTCATAAGTGGACACCCTTAAGACCCAGAAAAGGTGTACGTAACTGGAGCTGTCTGCTTTCAATAATGTTTCTCATAAGGGGCCACTAGGGGTGTAAGGGATGGATAAGAGATGCCCAACTAACTACAAACATTGTAAATACAATAAATACTGCAATATGAAATGATCTTTTTGTTCTATTACCTTGTGCAATGCTGCGATTATGGCGATAACCCAGTGGCGGATGTAGACCTTGAGCTAAAAAGGGCGGGTAGGGGGACGGTTCTGTTTTGTTTGCCCTGCCGGCTTTTCTTCCTACTGCAGTATTAGGACTGACCATTAGTAATAATTAAGAGCAAATCATAATTGCAGGCAACATTAACAGTCTCACTGCAACAAAATGCAGTGATACAATTTACAAATGTCTCAGTATCTTTGATAGTCAGGCCCAATTCCTTTCGGTTGTCTGCTGACACGAGCGTAAAACAAAGGAAAAGACTAAATCTTACTCCCTCAAAGTGTCCAGAGGCCCGTTTCTTGAAAGCCCCGGAAACCTTTCGGGCCTACAAAGCCATTTTTAACTAATCTGTTTCTAAAAACAGAAAGGTGTATACACCCGAAACCTCTTGTATGAAGTGGACCTCTGTTCATATTAAGAGCAAGTGAATAGAACAGCTCTGCAATCATAAGGTTTGAGGTTTTGCTACAGCCTTCCAGGTGCGAAAACATTTCTGATCATTCGAGAAATGGGCCCCAGGGCAGCTCATGGGAATGCCCAGTTACGGCGATGAGTTAATAAACAGCTTGTTTGGGAGTTCAAACACAGTTTTGTGAAGGCTGTCGTAAATAGATAATAGATAAAATAGATAATGGTCAGCGCGCTGGACTCCTGATTGAACTATTCAAGTTTGAGCCTTGGCTGAAGTCATCACACTGTCTTGGGTAAGACACTTCACCAATGCTCTTGCAATGCTTCTCTCCGCCCAGGTGTATAAATGAGTAGCGCTGAATTTTAATGCTGGGGGTAGCCCTGCAATGGACTGGCACCTCATCCATGCTATAAAAACTGGGATATGTTCAGGCAGTATGGACCACTTGGCCTGACGCAGACTTTACTAAGTACCTTGCCATCCATTTGAGCTTTTAGCATTCTTCTGAGATTGTTAGTGAGCAATATGAGAAATAAAACTGACAATATCGTTTTGCAGAGAAAACATTACATAGCATTGAAATGGTTCTTTTCAGACCACTGAAACCACTCTTTTCAGAGCTATGAAAACAAACAAAAATTGTTAATGCAGTCAATGACCCGAAGACAAAAGTAGGAATGGCCATGTAGAGAAATCATCGTTTTGTCTGCCTCGTGAAAATTGACTGACAAAGAAATGTTTATTTTCAATACTCATTCAATTTTTCCGCACCACTTCTGGTTTCCCACATAACTTTGTAGAAGTCAACGCTTAAGGAAAACTGTTGAGGAAACCTTTATCTTTATTACCTTAGCTTGTTTGTCACAAATGAGTTTACATATGCCACGCTTAATTTAATTTTATTGCCACTGCATATACTCTAAAACAGCTGCATCTGCAAGAAAACAATGGCAAAAGACGTTTTTCTCACTGTAAGAGCCTCTAAACTAGATATAAAGTTATGAATACCGTAAACTTTCTTGAAGTCGTAAGTTTATGTAAGATACTCGAAAATGGTTCGTGACAAACTGATGTCACGCTATGGACGAAAGAAGCAAATCTTGGTCGAAGAAGATTCCTTTTCGAGGTGAGTTTTGAGCAACTGGAACATCGGAAACATCCTTATTTCTATACGTTAAATTGTAGCAGAGTAACTGCAGTTTCATTAGTTAAAGCCGATACCAATAGTTAGTTTAGTTAGTTAGTTTTTCGAATATTCACAAAACCGCTAGCCCCGTCAAGCTGGACTAGCCGATAAAAAAGCGTTGCTAGCGAGTACCATGAAATCAAATGCGGGGATGTTTTGTTTGTCACGGTTTATTAAAACAAGGGTTGGTTGGAGTAACTTGAATTAAATGAACACTTTTCATCAACAGTAGAGAACAGTGTCGCTCACTTTAAGAGCTTTAAAAATAAAAGCGTCACAAATTGAGGTTTGAAGACAAATTTTAATTTGCAAGTTATTAAGTTGTTTTTATTTTCCACGCTCAGGCTGACGTAAGTAACCGGAAGTGAACTTTCAACTCCTTAGCAACGCGCGCGGGCGCACGCATGAATCGGTTAATAAGCCCTTAAAACGTCTCGTGTCTCGCACTTTTGCTTTACTAACGGTAACATGAATATGATTTTTATCAGTAAATTAATCAAATGGATGATGACAAGTTCCGAGTAGGTGCAGAAATGAAAACAACCGTGTATATGTCAAGCTAGGATGGTGTTACTATTTCATAATCAATTTCCGATATTATACCTCTACACAAATTTACTGCCCCGTGTAACAGACCTGGGGTCCCGTGGAGATGTAGACCTTTTAGTCCTACATCTCCATGGGATATCCAGTGGCTTACAACATTACAGTGTAATCATATCCCTGTCGGTGATCGTTTATGTTCCACAAAACGCGTCAAGTTTTGCATGAATGTGTCATAATCCTAAAGTGTGAGATTATATTTACTGTAACACAATTCCATCGTGTCAGAAAGATACAAAACATTTTAATAGTCGGCGATTCGG